GGCTCAATTGTTAGCAGGATTTTTTTGAAGTATTTTGTTTTGGAAATTGCTTTCTTTTAACAATCTTTACATAGTTGATTAGGGCATAAAGGGTCAAGAGCCACAGGAAAGTGGGTAAGACCATTGTTTCCACATTATTGCTTTTCTGTTTTCTGTATCTGGGATAAAGGAGGAGACAAATGAAGAAGCCCCACCAATCTCCCACCCATCCCAGGTCCCTGATGGGGGCATGCTCCAAGGGTCCTACTCAAGTGGTTTTGATAATTCAACAGTTCTGAATTACTGCCAATCTTGCCATTCCAAGCACAATGAATCACCAGAATCACAATGAAATCACTGCAGAATCCCCACGTTAACATAATCCAGCCTAGAGTCTCCGTTTGCTCAGATTTTCACTGTCAACACATGGCTGGGGTATTTGATTGATCTGTTCTGTCCTCCATCCTCTGTTGTAGTACCAGGTGTTCTCTGCAGGTTCCGATGGACTGCCATATCCTCCATGTGCACCTGGGTATGCTGTCCACTGCTTTGTTTAAACCTCTAAGGAGGCTCAGCTTTGACACTTGCACTCCATGAGCAGACCATGAAACCTGCACTTCTTTTCATGGTTGGGGTTCTGAGTCTGGCAGTTCAATTGGGGAGATCCCTAAAAAAACTTCATCTGAGGTGATCCCAGACCAGATTCTTGTGTGTGCTTGCTAGTACAGGGTCCAGCACAGTCCATTGCCCCAATCAGCTGGTGGTTGCAATGCTTGGGTCAGTTCTGTCTCCACCTCTGTCTTCCATTGGAACCAATAGGTGTTGCAGTCCAGCCTGGTTCTGCCCAACACACACTCGACCCTCATATAAACCTGTGGAAGCTGTAGCCTAGTTATTGCAGAGCGACCCACAATAACCCCCACCAGGCCTGCCCCCATCCTGGTTCCCATGCTTGCCAGTATGTGCAGCAGACTAGTCCAGTCTGTCCCACATTCCATTCAGCTCTCATACATGTCAATGGACACTGAAGCCTAGTTCAATCCAACAAGCTCCATTATCCAGTCCATGCACATGCTGTTGGGTGTCCTTCTGTCCAGCCACATCTGCCCCAGTCCTTGTTTTCATGCTCTTCAGTGGAAATGATAATCCAAGAGGGAGGTGCCCATTATTTCCCTCCTGGATCCACTCCCAGATCATGCACTCTCCAGGTAGTTCTGCAGTTTAACTTGATAGAGTTAACCCCCAGTGCCAGCTTCTGCCAGCTGGTACTGTGGTAAAGCCCAAGCAACCCTCACTCATTCTGATTTAGGCTTGCACCAGTGGAAACAATTAGCCCAGCCTGGCTCTTCCCTGATCTAGCTCACATGAGGCCCACAGGTGTTGTAGCCCTGCCCGGTCTGGTCTGCTCCCATCCCAACTCACGCTCTCCAGTGGGAGTGGTGTTCCAGCAGGGGGACCCTCCACATTCCCCCTGCCAGTTTTATCCCTTCCCTCAGTGGTTCTCACATGTACTGGTTGGGCGCTGTAGCCCAATTTGGCATGGCATTTGCCAGTGGGTGTTGTAGTCTGGCCCAGCTTGGCCCACCCCAATTCCAGCTGACACTGGTGAAGGTTACAGCCTAGCCCAGCCCAGCAGGCACCCAATTCCAGCTGTAATGTGTACTGGTATGTGTTGTGACCAAACCTGGCCCAACCCACACTATTCTGGTGTTTGGATTCACCAGTGAGTGATGTGAACTGGTTCAGCTTGGTCTGCCCCCGCCACCTGTGTCATGTATATGCTGGTGAGTACCTTTGCCTGGCCTGGTCTGGACTGCTCCCTATCGTGGTTCTTTTGCTCACCTGTAGGGACTGTGTCCTGCCAGAGTTGTTGCCAAGGCTCCTCCATCAGAACCTCTCCCAATGCCAGATCTTGCGTATATGTGGGGGTCTATGAGCCAGCCCTACTTAGTCTACCTCCTGTCTTAGCAGGAACAGTAGCCTTTCCTGACTGGTCTTCGACCCATTCTGGTTCTTACTGTTGGATGTTTCAGCCCAGCCAAGGCTCAGCCAAGGCTCACACATGGCTCAGTAGGGGCAGAGACCTAGCCTAGTCCATCCTACATCTACCCTGGTCCTCCAGAGCACCAGATGGTGCTGGAGTCTAGCCTGGCTTGGTGTGTCCAGTCCCAGTCCACACTTGTGCCAAGGGAGACTGCAGCCATATCCAGACCAGAATGCAGCCCCCACTCTGATCCCCACACTCACCAGTGGGAACCCCAACCCAGCAAGGGTGTCTTCTTAGCTCCCCAACTGGGCCTGTTTCCAGCCATAGATCACGCACATGCCAATGGTTTCTCTGATCCAGCTTGGTACAGCCTCTCACCCGTCTCAGCCTTTCCCTTAGATGCTGTAGCTTAGCATCCCTGGCTCATGCAGCCCAGTAGGTGTAAGAGCCTAACTCGGCATGAACTGTGCTCCAGCCTGATTTCTATTTTCGCTTGTAGGCTAAGGTTTGCTCAGCCCTGTCTGGTCCACCCCCTTCCACACATTAGCCAGCCATTAGAGCTACTTTGCCCAGCTTGTCCGACCCCCAGGTCTGGACCATGTGATTATCAGTGAGAGTTGTAACCCACTAGGGGAGTTTCTCAAGTTCTTCCACTTGACCCACTCCCAGACCCAGTTCTCATACATGTCAGTGGGTGTTAGGCCAGTGCCTGGCATAGTCTGGCCTTCCATTTTGACCTTGTATGAGCTGGTGAACATTGCAGCCCAGCCCACCCCACACCCTTTTTAGGATGCACATTTGGGTGCTGCTGCCTTGACCAGCCCAGACTGTTATCGGTTCCTTTATCCGTGAGTGATGGCAGGTTCCGTGGTCACACCTAGCTCAGCCCGTCACCACCCCAACTCTTGAGCTACCCAGCATGACTAGTATTTCCACGGGGTTTGGCCCACACATCATCCACAGAATCTACCCCCAGAAATGGTTCTCTCATGTGCTGGTTAATGTCATGACCCTACCTAATGTGACCCATCCCCTGATCAAACATTCTATCAGATACTAGGATCTGGGCCTGTTAGACAAGCCCCCAGCCTTAGCTTTTGCATGGACTGGTGTGTGGTGGTCAGCATTGTTCGGTGATAACAAGTTCTACACAGGACTCATAAGTAGGTTCGCATATCAGTCTGACCCATAAAGATCGTCCGGTCTCTCTAAACCACTAGGTCTCAGTACCCTTGCTTACCCTCAAGGAAAAGCTACTCTGTCATTGGGAGTCCTTCAGGATTGATTCACAACTCACAAGCACAGTGGGCTCAACATGGACGAACCTAGGCAGCAATTCCATACCCACAAGATCAGAGCTTGCCACTGGGCCACCAGCAGGCAGAGCCTGGCGCCAAATGGTACTCTGGTCGCACGGGTCCAGCTCTCTGTGTGTTCTCAATGGCTGGAGCCAGGGCCTCAAGCATGGAGTCCCACCTGGCCTGGGACCTCCCATCAGCCAACAGGCTGCTGGAAGTTCTTCTCCCCAGTCCGTAAGATCACCTGTTAGCTGGATTGTTAAATTCATCTACCTCAGCTTGTTTTTCTGGCAAGCAGAGGACTCCAATGGCCTCCTTAGCAGGTGCCATGCAAGGCTTTGCTATTCTCCCCTACAGGAAGAAGTGGGTTATCCGATGTGAGCTCACTGTGTCTAGGTCTGACTGGATGCCATGGCAGCATGGGCACAGGGAAGGCTTTGATGCATGCAAGTTCTATTCCTCTAGTCCCAGAAGGGCTTGGGTGGGAAGGAGGAAACCTACATTTATCACATGCGCAGGGAGCTTCCCATGCATGACTTTCTAATGCATGATCCCTCACTGCAGCTCTGAGAGCTGTCCTCATCAGATGAGGAGCAAAGTTTTGGTGGGACTGAAGTGTCAGGCGGTAGAGCAGCCAGGCTGTTCTTGGTGTCCATGTTGGAACTATCCTCTTTCAAGTCAACTCCAAGTCCCAAGAGCTCACCAGAGATGCCAGCATCACCTTTACTATTGGAGCCCCTGCTGAGTTTTAGGTCAGTCACAGCACTGAGGCTAAAGGTGGATTTGTCCCAGCCAGTGCAAAGCAGCTGCCCTGAGCCAGGCTTTTTTTTAAGAAGGAAGGGTATAGAGGTATACATTGTAGCATAGTGGGTTAAGGAACCACCTGCCATGCTGGCATCCCACACTGCAGCATCTGGGATCAGATCCCACCACAGCTTCTAATCCAGCTTCCTGCAAATGCACCCTGAGAGGCAGCAGATGATGGGTCCCTATGCGAGACCTGGATTGAGACATTGGTTCCTGGTTTCTGCCTGGTCCAGCCTTGGTTGCTGTGAGCATGTAAGAAGTGACACACTGACTGGAAGATTTTTCTCAAAATGCATAACCTTTTGGGTAAATGGGTGACATTTTGATGTCTTCGATGGAAGTTATCCCTTTTCAAAAAAGGAATGCAGTGTGAAACCCACATTGAGCTTGCTTGTAAGCCTGCAGGATATTCTTATGTCCCATGTCTTTGTACAAGCTCTCCTCCTCTCACAAAATCGTATCCTTATCCTCAACACAAAGCATCTCTTTCTGTGAGCCAGAGAGAATCCTGTGCAGCTCTTGGTTGCAGTGCCTCGCTCGGGCATCCAGGGACCTTGACATGCTGTTCCTTCCACTACACACGTTTTATGGGAGAGTAGCCCTATTTGAATTCCAGGCAAGGCCCCTAGCCTAGCAGCCCTTGGCTTGTGTGCTTGGAGGATTTTCCTTACTTATGGATGTGCACATCTAACCCCAGGGCATGAACTACCACAGGAATCTGAATTTCATTTCTGTAAAAATATCTGCATAGCCTTGAAGAGCTGATTCCACAGGGATTATCTTCAGGCAGTCCACATCCAAGCTATTCACCCATCCCAGCCTCCCTTCACACCCGTAACCCAGCCAAGACAGAGCCTGTGGCTGCCACAGGATGCCCTCTGGTGGCTCTTCAGGACAATAGCAACATGAGTGGCACCTGGAGCTGGGAGCAGGCTTTTTATTAGCTGGTTGTTCCTGGGGTCCTACAGGGTCAGCAGAGAGGTTGGGACCATCTGCCCAGGTCTAGAAGAGGAACTGGAAGGCCTGGGTCACATGCTGCTTCCATGCCTCCAGGCTGGGAAGCAGGGAGGAGATGCCCATGACATGCCAAGTCTCGCCATCCGACACCATCGAGGTCTGGTAAGACAGCAGCTGTACGCCAGCCTCCGCCAGGAGTCCTGGAAATAGAAGAAGGCCCAGATTGGCACAGGGCATGAAGGGAGGAGAGGATGGAGACTGGCAGCAGAGTCAGAAGTCAGATGTCTGATCTAAGTCATGATGGGAGTGCAAGGGACAGTGACCTTAGAAATCCAATGAGTTGAGATGGACGAACCAACAGGATATCTGGCCTGCTGCTCCCCAAACCCCAGAGACCCTCCAGGAACACCCAGACCACCAGGCAGGCTAGGGAAGTTCTAGTCACAGAATGGTAGCACCTGACTCGCAGATGACAGATTCATCCAGGCTGCCAAGGGTGGCCAAATCAAGCCCTTCAGACTGTGGTTTTTGAACATGCTCTGCCAAACCCCCAGCAGCGGGGGCCTGGAGCAGGGGTAGGATGGCTGGAGGGGATGCCCCTGCAGGACTTACTGTAGCCAGGCACACAAGGGCACTCACTGCTCAACATGGCCAGCTTACAGCCCACAATCAAGCCAGTAAATAGGAGCTCCTTCTCTTTTTGGATTAACTATCTACTCCAGAACGCTCTGTGAGTGCGCACTTAGAGATAACAAGGCATGTAGAGGGATGGAGGAGGCAGAAGGTCCTTGGGACCCAGTCCCAGCAGACACTCCCCACCTCAGCCAGCCAACCCCCCAGGGCTCTCCTCACCGATCATGGTAGGCAGCAGGGCTGGGCTGGAGGGCCGGGCCTGGAACATGAGCAGGGGCAATCCCCGGCGGAGAGGCACTTCTGGCCGAAAGACAGCTCCATTGAGTGCCTGCAGCACAGGTGTGGTGCCCTGGACAGAGCCCACAGCCTGGTAGGGGGCACCTACCAGGGCCACAGTCAACATGCAGTCACTGCCTTGCTCCCCTGCAGTAGAGGAGTTGTGGGAGGTGGTGACCTGTGGAGAGAAACCAGCAGTCTGTGACTGCTTCCAGTTGCATCCCAGCCACCCTCCTCCCGCCCATGCCCACTCGCTGCTATACAGGGCTCCAGCCTGGGCTGGGCGGAGATCAGTGTGAGGCGTGCAAGTGAGCTAAGTCTGAACATTCGCCTTCTGGGACAGTCACAAACCCTCTGCCTGTCAGGGGCAGGTAGAAGCTTGCAGGGGAAGGCTGGGAATTGAGGACTCCGCTATTGGTGACCCCGTCTGGCTGCTTCCTACAAGCACCGCTGGCCTGCAGCGGTGCGACTGCCCACAGCTTCTGCCAGCTCCATCTGGCTGAGACACACAGATATAAAGGACAGCCAGAGGGGGAAATGCCAATGGGAAACACCAGGGCCCTACTGCTGGCTCCCAGAGTTTGAGACAGGCAAAGGAGCTGGGTGCTGTGGAAGAAAGAGCCTGGGTGGGGAGCCAGGACCAAGTGAGCTGGGCCTTGTCCAGGCCTCAGTTCAGTTGCAGCCCAGCCCTGAGATTCCTCAGCTGGGCAATGCGCGCACTGCAGGCATGGCTTGTTGGTGGACATGCTCCTGAGGCCCAGCACACTCGGCAGGGATGTCCGCTTTGCAGCAGGAAGGAGACCCCTGTGACAGGGAGGCACCACATGCACCCAGGACATCTATCAGTGGACAGGGTTCAAGGAATTCTGGATGTGTGGGGGACCAGCAGTGCGGATGGGGGGATTGCAGGGACACACCGTGAGGCCAGCCTCGTTGACCAACAGCTTGGCATTGACTAAGTTCACGTCCGTCTGCTTGGAAGCTTCTTTCAGGAGACCGACCATGACGGCGGGGCTTAGGCAGTTTCCAGCATTCTTCAGGGGTGTTCCTGGGGACAGAGAGATGCTGCCTCGAGTCACTGCCGAGCTCCACAGAGGTAGCAGAAGGGATTACAGCAGGTTAAGCCGCCACTTGCATCCCCTTTGGAAGTGCTGGTTGGAGTCCCAGCTACTTTACTTCAACTTCTTGAGAAGGCAAAGGAAGATGGCCCCCCAATGTTTGGGTCCCTGCTAACCACATGGGAGACCAGGATGGAGTTCCTGGCTCCTGGCTTCAGCTTGATCTATAGCTGGTTAATGCAGTCATTGGGGGAAATAAACCTGCAGTTGGAAGTTCTCTTTCTCTCCCACTGCTTCTCTCCCAGTTGCTCTGCCATTCCAATAAATAATCTTTTAAAAATTTAATCAAAATAAAAAATAAGATGGAGGTCACTACCCCTAGCTCTCGGCTTCAGGCTCCAGCAAGCCCTGGGCAGTCCCACTCCCCACAATCCCCAGGAAGCTCAGGAGCAATCATGGGAGACACCCAGGCTATTTGAGCAGCCTGAGAAACTCAACAAGCTCAGCCTAACTCTGCTGCCTGCCACCATGACTTGGCCTGCCTGCTCTTCTCCCAGGAGCTACTTAGAAAATTTCCTCCTGCACTGTCCTTGGTGCTCAGACCCTGCAGGACACCGAAAGGAGCAGCTGCAATGCTGCTACCCAGTCCCTTGCTTTTTTTCCCTCCTGGATCTGGTCCCCCAGCAAGCAGGGATCCCAAGGATCTGTCCTTCCCTGTCAGTGTCAATGCTCAACAGTTTACTGCCCATAGCCTGTAGTCCCTCTAGCATGCAGATGTCCAGCAGTCAGCCAAATGCATTACAGGGTTAAGAAAACTGTAGTTCCCTTAGTCACCAACCACATCTGCATAGCAGCCTCACGGCTGGACGTCCACCTCCATGGTCAAGCAGACATACCAGGACTGCAGGCTGACACTCCTAGCAAGTCACAGAGCACAAAACAGCCCCCACGGCTACATTGGGCACAGCCATCCTCTGGCTTTCACTTGCCATGGGTGGCATCCCAAGGCTCAGAAAAGGGAAAGAGAAACAGCAGGTATTCAGCAAGGTCAAGATCAGAATGAAACTCCCTGGTACTTAATTTGGGTCTCCCTCCACCTATCCTTCCACCTCTTGTACCTCTTGTGGAGGTCTCTCTTGCACCGAAATATGTTTAAGAAAATTCCATGTCTTTTCCTGGCCATATTTTGTCCCCCTGTCCTCCATCCCCACACTGCAACAGGGACCAGTCTCTTCCTAGGCTCTTACCAGCTCTGTGCCCTGCAGCAAGCCCCCGAGAAAGTCTGGCCCACTCCCCCTTTCCCGTAACCCCGGCTATGTCTGCATGCAGAGGGCCAGTTGAAAAATCCAGACTCACCCTGTGTTATCACCTGGATGGTCCCTTTTGGGGATCCAGCCCAGGCACGCATAAGGGTCCCCAGAGCTTCTGCCAGGCCAATCCAAGGCTTGGTGTGTGGAGAGAAGGCGCTGGTAAGGGCCTGTGCATTTACCTGTGGAGAATGGGGAAGCAGTGCTGAGGTCAGCAAGAGATGGACCAGGGGCTCCTCTGCCCAACTCAGTTACCAAGAGCCAGTTCCTCCTGCACCACAGGCAAAGAGCCTGCCTTGTTCTGAGTGCCTGGTGGCAACAATTCCCCTCAGCCACAAGAAGACCAAAACTTGTTCCTGCAGAGGAGCTATAGAACCCAAAATGGACACAGAAGGCCAAGGCCACTCAAAATTAGTAGAGGGGGAGGGGAATATGCACACTTCCTCCCTGGCGACCTGTGTCAGCCTCGCCCTCCGGAAGACTTGGGTTGACCTCTGCTGGCTTAAGGTTTGCACAGTGCAGTGAAGGTGGGTTTTGACTCCAGGTGATTTGCACTGAGAGTGGTGGGTCTTTCTGAGACAGCATTCCTAGCCTAACTTCACTTCTCATCTCCTATTTTGATGGCTTTAGAATTGAATAGAATAGTGATCACATCACAGCAGGACACTGTAAGCAAATACCACAGTGTAGAAAGCTAGATTCCCTCAACCCATACACCCATCAATGGACGACTGGATAAAGAAAATGTGGCATACCAACAGATCTTAAAATAATAATGAAAGTGTGGTATACAGACACTATGAAATTCTACTCCTTCAGAAAAAAATGAAATTTTGTGCTTTACAATTAAATACGGCTAAAAAGTGTTATGCATGATGAAATAAGCCAGTTCCAAAAAGACAAATATCATTTTCCCTAATCTGTGATAATAATACCCAGAGTACAAAAAATGTAATCTATAGGTACAAGAGTGGCACTCTGGGATTTGATTACGGTGTACAGCCTTTGTTTATACTCCCAAGGACTAGTAGGTTTTTGATTATTTGTTTTTTCTCTGCTATTTGTTATTATTAGCATTTTCTACTTGCTGTATGTTGATGGCTACCTAATGGAATGTTACACACAGAAAAATAAATTTGTAAAAACTAATGTTATCTTAAAAACTAAGAACAAAGAGAAAGGGAGAAAGAATCAAAGAGGGATGAATGGAGGAAGGGAATATCATTAGGTTCTTAGAATTGTATCTCTACAAAATATTTTGACTCTGTCAAAACTAATTACAATTAAACTTAAGAAGAAAAACATTTATGGACTTTGAAACGCACACATATGAGAAGTATTGAAAGAACATAGAAAATACACATCATGAAAAATTGCACAGATTTCAGAACTTTTTGCTCCCAAATGAATTATTCATTTCTTAATCTTAAAAAGAAAAAGAAAAGGAAAAGCCACCCTGGGTGTGATGAAAGGAGTTCTGGGAGTTCACTGGGTGCACTCTGCCTGCAGGGGCTTTGGGCATGGGCCATCTCAGGCCAGGCCCAGCTGTCACCCTGGCAACACAGCTCCAGGCCCAAGGCTCCAGCAGAACAAAGCAGCCTTTCTCTAGCATGTGCAGCAGGGCCCACAGTGTAGCAGGGCCGCCCACCCCCTCCCCAGAGGCTGACTCTGCTGGCTTAGGCTTCCAGGGCTGTATCCATTCATTGGCATTGTCAACATGCTCTATATCAAGATGGCCTTGTCCCTCTCCTCCCTCTGCCTCACACTGTGATACTTACCACCCCCGCTAGAGACTTTCCCTTCACCATGTCCACAAACTGGATGGCGATTTCCTCCCCACAGCGGCTCTGGGCCTCTTTGGTGCTAGCACCCAGGTGCGGGCAGCTGATGACGTTCTCATGGTCCACCAAGGCTCGGTCTCGTGGTGGTTCCTGCCCAGAAAGGAAACACATCCAGGTCAGCTGCTGTGACTGACCACACCACCTTGGGGCTGTCAGGGATGCAGGGGAAACTGGATGGGAGGGAGACAGGAGCCATGCCACTAGCTACTTGAACTGGGTCAAGGTGGTCACCAGACTCAGTAAGCTGCTTCCTCACGAATACTGGGTCACACAGAGTGGACAGGAATGGTGGACCTCCTTACAACTCCCTAACACCTGGGACCTGCATGCTCTCACACACATATCAATCCCTCTCCGCATTGATTTCCTTATCCATGAAATGGGTCAATGCCATCTACATGATAATACTGTAAGAACTAACTCACCCATACCCTAACAGATCCTGCTCTGCACAGCAGCTCCTCCCCATGCCTCCACCCTGTCCCTGCCCCTGTTCTGCTTGCTAAGTGGAACATTGTCTTTGGGAAAGGGACTTGAGCATCCTCTCTCTGCTGTCTCCCTAGGTCTCCCTCTGTTGGCCCTACAACCTCACGACCCACCTGACCCTGTGAGTCCTGCCCTGCTTGTAGTTACTGGGAGGACAGGACCCTGGAGAGTGCTGTGCTGTACTCCCTGTGCTCTCTGCCTAGGAGCAGTGAGCACTGTTGCAGCTTGGAGGGCCCAGTGATGTGCCCAGGCCACACGGCTAGTCACCTGCACAGCACAAGCTCCTAACCCAGAGTCCACACCTTCACCCTGTACAATGAGGGCAAGCCCTCGGGGGTAGTAGGGTTGGGAGGCAAAATTTTGAAGGAGAGTGGCTAATAGGATTCAATGCACACACTCCTTCCCACAGGATCTGGGGTGAGGCTGAGCCCCTGCCCTTGCAAGGAGAGTGATGCACAGGGACCAGAAGGCACACCGTCCTTTATCTCCAGGCTTGTGTCCTTCCGTGGGAAGAGGGAAGGAAAAGAAGCGATGCCGATGCACACTGCCAGATAGGGTTTTGTAATGCGAGTTAAACGTCAAAGATAATACACTAAGCGCTTCTCTCTCCCTTCCCTAAATCCTTAAGCTCAAAGCTAATCAGCTGCCTTCTTCCCTCGCTTTATGAATATGACAGATGTCTGTGAAACCTGACACCAGGTATTAGGTCACATCAACACCCTGAGGTTGGGGAAGGCACTGCAGGGTAGCCTGGTTAAGCCACTGTCTGGGATGCCTGCATCCCATATCAGAGTGCCAGTTTAAGTCTTAGCTCTCTGCTAATGCATCCTATGAGGCGACAGAAGACAGTCCGAGAGCTTCGGCCCCTACCACCCATTTGGGAGATCCCAATGGAGTTCAAGGCTCCTGGCTTAGGTCTGGCCCACTTCTGGTTGTTGTGGCCATTTGTGGAGTGAACCAGTAGATAGAAGCTCTCTTTCTCTTTCTCTGCCCTTCAAGTAGATGAAAAATAAAAGAAATAAACATTTGAAAGAAATAAGCCTGTGTCCCATTTGGAATGCCTGAGTTTGATTCCCAGCTCTGCTTTTGACTCCAGCTTCCTGCTGAAGGACACCCTATGGGGCAGCAGGTGATGGTTTAAGTGCTTGGGTCCCTGCCACCCACATGAAAGACTCAGTCTAAGTTCCAGGATCTTACCTTGGCCCAATCCAGCCCTGACTATTGTGGCCATCTGTGGTGTGAACCAGCAGATGGAAGATCTCTCACTGCCATGAAAATAAATTAAAAAACGAAGAAAAACCAACCTGAGTTTTGCAGATGGCAGCATGGCTGCCTCCATGTCAAGCTCTGTGAGAGCTCCTCCAAGGACACACTTTACTGTGACACCCGAGGGAGGCCTTGGTAATGTGCTGAGCTTGTATTGGCACCAAGGCTGTACACTTACTTCCGTGAACACGTCCAGTGCCGCACCAGCACACTGACCAGACTGCAGGGCCCGGAGCAGAGCACCTTCATCCACGATCCCTCCCCGGGCGCAGTTCACCACCCGCACCCCTTTCTTGCACTGGGCAAAGGTGCTGTCATTCAGCAAGCCTGGAAGAGAGCAGAGCATCTAAATCATCTTCCTGCTGATGATGACCAGACTCCAGGTCTACCCTCCCCTTGAACCAACTCCTTCCTCACAGCCTCCTTCTTGCTGCTTCTTATAGCAATTCCCTTGTTCTCTCCCTCTTCCCTCACAGATGCTCCAGGACAGTAGCCCCAGCTCTGGGTCTAGGTGGGACTTAATTTAAAGCATCCTATGTATCCTTGGCATATTATGCTCCAAGTGGGTTTGGGAACCACAATGCCCTGTGGGGGCTTTAGGAAGTACCCAAAGGGGTCCATGACTTCTGTAAACTTCTGGCTGCCTCCCCTCTCCATCTGAGAAACCCTGCAGGACCAGGGTTAGACCCCAGCATCTGCAGCTGGGTCAACCTCTCGTTATGTGGTCTGTGGCTTCTGTAGTTAGTCCACAACGCTGCTGACACACCAACCTATGGTAGAGGGCAAAAGAGGGGTGTGCACCGTGATGAAGTCACACAGAGGCCAGATCTCTTCAAGGGACAGCTGCTGAACACCGAAGGAGGCTGAGACATCTGGAGAAATGATGGGGTCATATCCTATAGTCTGTCCAGCAAAAAGAGGGAGGAAAAGTAATTATTACTCATTGTTGTCATTGTCATTAGCAGTGGCAACTACTTATCAAGAATTGGCCATGACCCCAGCACCATGCTAAGCCTAATTTGAAGCTCCAGGTGAATGCACAGGACACACAGCCAGGAGGGGCACAACCAGGCTTGTCAGGGAGATGTGCCTGCCTCTTGGCATTAACCCCAAGCAGATGCAATAGCAGATTGTGTCCTCCTACCCCACAAGGCGGAGCTTGGAAGCCTTGAGAAAGCAGAAGCCCTTGGTGATGGGGCACCATCCAATGGGAGGCATGGCAACATCACAGGCACAATCAGACAGGGAGGAAATGGCAGCTATGGCCAGAGGGCCTTGAGGTCCAGAGACAGACAAGGACATCAAAAGGAGGCAGGAAGAAGACTGGGAGGGGGATCAGCAGTGGTGGAGGGCAGGAACAAGACCTGCTCATGGAGGCTAAGATCATAGAAGGATAAAGAGATAAAGGTAGGTCCCTTCAAAATGCCAGCCTAGGGGTGGACCATGTGCTACAGTGGGTTCAGCTGGCACTTGGGACCTTACATCCTTTGTCCAAGCACTGGTTTGTATCCAGCTGCTATATACACAATCCAGCTCCTTGCTAATGTACCTTGGAAGACAGTGGATAATGGCCCAAGTACTTGGGCCCTGCCACATACATGGGAAACAAGGTTGGAATTCCTGGTTTTGGCCTGGTCCCAGCCCTGGCTGTTGTAGGCATCTGGGGAGTGGCCTGGAAATGAAAGATCTCGAATTCATTCTTTCTCTCTCTCTCTCTCTCCCTCTCTCTCCCTTCTCTCTCTCCTCTCGCACTACCCCCCCACCCAATTTCTCCCTCTGTCACTGGTACCCTGCCTTTCAAATAATTAGATAGGTAGACAAAACAAAACATGGCGTGCTTGACTGGAGTAGGGACCAAGGACACCTAAGAGAGAAAAGTAAGACGCAAGGAGCCTGAAATGAAGAAAGACCTTGCTCTAGGCTGCTAAGAAAGAAAGATTGGTTCCCAGGAGAAGCAAAATGGGACAGGCAAGGAACTCTAGGAGTGTCAGCAATACCAACCCCTGGAAACTGGCCAAAGGTCAATAGAAATCAGTAGGGAATGAGGAGCCACTGGAAGAAAGAAGAAAGGACGTTGGGTCAAGCCAATAATGACAAACCTATACTTAGCATCTGCCATGTCTCAGGAGCTTCCACATGATTAACAATTAAGTACAATTATTCCCCCATTTCACAGGAGAGCAAACAGAGGCAGAGAGGTCAAGTAGAAGGGATGGGATGGGACACAAATCAGATCTCCTGATTCATGAGTCTGCCAAACTTCTGCCTTCTCTTTACAAAGTGGCTGAAGCCTGGATGACAGAAGAGATGGGGCAGGGACCAGCACTGTGGAGTAGTGAGTTAGCAGGATTCCATATGGGCGTTGTTTTGAACCCTGGCTGCTCCACTTCCAATTTGGCTCCTTGCTGAAGGTCTGGGAAGAGTGACAGAAGATGGCTCAAGTACCTGGGTCCTATACCCACATGGGAAACTGGGATTAAGTTTCAGCCTGGCCCACAAGGGGTGTGAACCAGCAGATGGAAGATCTTTATCTTCCCCGTCCTCTCAGTAGCACTGACTTCCAAATTAAATCTCCAAATATGAGTTAACAATAGGTAATAGATAAAGCAAACATTTAAAGAAAGAGGTAGGGTGAGGGAACAGTTAGCACAACAACCTCTTCCTCCGGGGGCACCTATGACTGACCAGACAGAGCAGCATATTCGCAGGAACCTGGACTAGCCATTGCCCTGAATCTGGGCCTTCAGAGGTGGAATGGAGACCTGAGTTCCTCCTGAAGAAACAGAGGTGGAGGCATGAAAGCAGACCCCCCCCCGCCCGCCCCCGCGGCAGATAACCTGGGTGCCAGCCACGCAACTCTCAGCAAGAGCCATGTTTGCCAGGTTACCATGCCAGCTTCCACAGTCAGGCAAGTCTGCATCAGGCTAAAGTAGATTCTTGCTCACCCAACAGCAAAGAACTCCCCATCGCCTTCCTGGTCTACCCAGGAGGCCTTTCCAGGGTTCTCTCTACGTCAGCCACACTGGCGGGAGAAAAGAGGTGAAGGAGTCGTAAGTATCTCAGTGGCACCTGTGTGCCCAAGAAGGCAGGACGGAGGCTTGTGTGGGGTGGTGATTAAGACATGGCTCTGGTTGCCCACATCCCACACCAATACACTTGGGCTCAGGTCCCAGCTCCACATTCAATACCAGCTTCCTGCTAATGCAGACCCTGCAAGGCAACAGGTGATAACTCAAGTGCCTGGACCCCTTCTACCCATGTGAGAGACCCACATGGAATTCCTGGCTCATGGCTTCAGCCTGGCCCAGCTTTTGTGAGTGATTAGGGCCTTTGTGAGTGATCAGAGAGAGAGAGAGAGAGATCCAGAGGATGGAAGATCTCCCTGTGTCTGTGTGCCTGTCCCTGACTCTTTTTCAAATAAGAATTTAAAAAGAATCAAAAGTAAGCAGGGCAGCTGGCAGAGGGAGATGGGCCTGAGAGGTCCAAGGGGTGCACCGTGAGACCAGAATCCTACCTCCGTTGCTGCCAATGGCATGTCAAGGCTTGTGCCAGGCTCCTCTGAATGTGGGTCCTCAACCCTGTACGAAGGAGGTGAGGGTAACTTCATCCTCTCCTCTAACATTCACTCATTCACAACGATTTTGAAGAGCAACATCCCCCAACCTGAGGAGGGGACTCAGAGTTGGCCCCAGATTCAACAGAAGCAAACAAGCGAAGAGCACAGAGGGTAGTGACTGCCGCTCTCAGCTGGTGAGATTCTTTCTCTTCCTTATCCTTTCCTGTGTGTTTTAAGTGCCCTACAATAATCTCTATGCATCGCCTTTGAAACTAGAGAAATATAAATATTATTTTAGAAAATAACTAAGCATTGGATGCTGTGATCCAGTGAGGTAAGCCATTGCTTAGGACACACACATCCAATGCCAGATTTGCCAGAGTTTCTTGCTGGTGCACCCAGGGGCCCTGGATGGTGGTTCATGTGCTTGGGTTCCTGCGCTGGTACGTTGGGAGACCTGGATGGAGTTCCCAGTTCTTGTGGCTATGGTCTGGCACAGTTCTGGCTTTTTCAGGTATTTGGGGGAGAGAACCAGTGAGTGGAAGCTCTTTCTCTCTCTCTCTCCGTCTCTTTCTTTCTCTTTTTCTCCCCCTTACAAATAAATACATTTATTTAAAAAAAAATCATGGGCTTAGCGTGGTGGCTTAAGGACTAAATCCTCATCTTGAAAGTTCTGGGATTACATATGGATGCTGGTTCGTGTTCCGGCAGCTCCACTTCCCATCTGGCTCCCTGCTTATGGCCAGGGAAAGCAGTTGAGGATGGTCCAAAATCTTGGGACCCTGCACTCACTTGGGAAACCCAGAAAAAGCTTCTGGCTCCTGGCTTTGGATTGTTGCAGCCAACAACAATCTGCTAGTGAACTAGCAGAAAGAAGATCTTTCTCTCTATAAATCTGATCTGCTTTTCTAATAAAAATAAGTAAATCTTTTAAAAAAATAGAAGACTTTGGTGAATGATTTTTCCCTTTCTGAAAAATGCATGAAAAACCTATGCATGGATTTCAAAACCTTTTAGGTCAACATTAACTCATCTTCTAATTCAAATTTCCTACCAAATATCCTTGGGTTTTGCATTCAGTAGGTGCAGTGGAATTTGGGGGAGAGATACTGTTTCCCTCTACACCCTATGAGGTCCCCCAGCTCAGGACAGCAGGGGCTTCTGGGCTCAGAGCGTGTTTTCCAGACACTATCATTCCTTTGCTACAAAGCCTCCCATGTCCTTGTGAGTTTTATCCACTGGCTCTGAGGCTGTTTACAACCATGATTGCTCATCTTCAGCCCTGTTGCATTCTCTTTCTGGGTATGGTGGGGACAGAGGACAACAGTCATGGGGCTCTCAAAGCTGAACCTTGTGGAGCCAGCACAGGAACCCCATGACATGCAGCATGATCTGGAGCCAAGGAATGCCCCAGGGCTAAGCAAAGGGAAGGATCAACAAGCTGGCAGGTGCCTGGAGTTGGAGGGAGACTGGCTGGGGAGAAGGGTGGATAAACATTGTTCCAAGAGCAGAGAGGGGAGACGTGGCATTCAGTTTCAAGCATCTTCCAGGTGGTGGTCAGAGTGGTCCTCTCTCAGCCTTTTTTTCTGCCAAGGAGACAGCAGTTCATTCATCTGCTGACGACAGCAGAGATCAAATTTTACTGAGAAAAAAAAGTTTGACTTTGCATCTGAGATAAACACAATAGCAAGGAACAGAGCTGCACACAGCCAGGAGGTTGGGGTTCTGTGCACCCGGAGTCCAGGTTGGAGGACACAAATAAGAGGACACAGGGTTCAGGAGCCACGTGACTCCCTCAAGGCCCCATGTGTCCTGGAAGGGGTCAGATATCCTGTGGACAGAACCTGGAGCGCCTCCACATGTACCCTGTCCAAAGATTATCCCAGGAGATGCCTCCAGTTTAAGCAGGGAGGCTTCCCCTGCTACAGCCCAGCCCTGGGACAGACTCCTGAAGCAAACTGAGCAGAGAAAGGGGCTGTTCCTCACTGATATCACTGATGGCAGCCACAGAGAGTTGACCATGCCAGCTCCAGAAGCCCCTGAAGGCTCAACAGGAGACCACGGTGGGAGAACCCTAAGATTATGCCCAATTCACAGCCCAGTATTTCAGCTTAGCATCAGAACACTCCTGTCTGCTGCAATTAATTCTTAAAATAGACACCCAATAGATACACAGGATCAGGAGCTCCATCAAGTGCTGTCCACCTGCGCACCCTTCTCACTTCCACCTGTGTCTCCTAAGGCACCATTCCAGAGGCTGAGGCTCCAGCAAGAGCCAACCGATCACTGCTCTTGGGCAATATTAACTGCAGGTGTCAGCTAAGGTGGGGGCTGCCATTCTTGCAGAGCATCTGGCCCTGGACTGCTGAGCCCAGTGACATGGCACAGGGCCTACTTAACTCACTATGGGTCATGGCTGCAGATGGCAGAGCAGTGCCAGGCAAAGGGCACCAGATTGGAGGCCATCAGACCCAGAGACTGAGGTAGACTCCACCACTTCCTCCTGCTGCTATCTTGGGGAGAGGAGGGGCTTGTCACAAAAACTTCTTGGACCCTCAGTTGCCTTATCTAGGAAACTAGGACAAAAGCATGGACCCACTCCCTCTCACACCACCACCACCCGAGGTTGTTGTGAGCATAGCAACTGAAACAGCAAATCTCAGTAAACAGTAGGTGGACCCAGTGGGATTAGACACAACTCTCAGCTTGGGTTCAATGTCCACCTCTCTGAGCTCAAGTCCAATTCAGCACAACAGTGGCACCTACAGAGACGTTCCTGGAAGATGCCGAACAGTGGCCCCTTTTGGCAAAATCTCGATAAGAGAGTGCAAGGCTCAACCCCTGGTTGGCTTGTGCCTGGTAACATGCTCCAGGGAACACATGAGCACAAACGAACTGGGTTTCTGATGTCACAGCCAGTGACCTGGCAACTCTATACACACTATATTTCACACTGAAAGCATAGAGAACAAGTTCTGCTCAGCCCTCAGCACCAGTCGGCTGACAGAGTGTACAAATCATCACCTCCTTGCTCTGGAAGTCAAATTTCTTTCAATGCTGCATACTTCCCATATCCTTTGCTACTGGACACATAACTATCAACCATGGCTCCTCTGCCACCCAACACCCTCCTCCCACACAAGAGCTTTTGAAAAAGCCTTCTTCATTCAAAACTTGTCTAGCTGTTTTTTTGGATTCACACATAGGGCACAGAAATGTGTTCTAACTGCACTTCTTATTGGGATGGCCAGCCATTCTAGCTTCCCTGAGCCTTTCGGGATTAAATTCTGTATTCTCTAAAGCATCAACCCACCTGTCCCTCCTTCCTGTCATCCACAAGTGCATGCCGTCCAGTCTGCTGATAAGAACAGTTCCTAAGGTCAGGCACTTGGCACAGCAGGTGACATTGTACAACATCCTATTCTCTATAGGTACATAACCCCCTATATGCATAGTTCCTCTCCCTTTGTTTGGATGTTTTGTTTTGCTTTGTTTTGTTTTGTTTTTTTAAAAAGCAGCCCAGGGCAGCATCTGTGCAACTGAGAAACATCAGTGACAAGATAAGCTTTACTGGCACTTCAGCTGTGCTGGAGACCATGGGGCACTTTTGCATGGCTTAAACCACTGCTCAAGTGCTAATGACAATGAATGACACTGAACTAGAGTTGGGGGATGGGTGGTGCCCAGGGAGAGGGTGAGGGACTTGTGGTGTTGTGCTAGCCTGGCCACCAGCCTCAAACCACTCATCAATGAAACATTCACCCAGTTGGCTGAACTCTTGCTTTACCCAACAACTGGCCCCTGTTTGAGATCAGAATTTTCCACGCACTGAACTTTTTCCTTAATTCTTAGAGAGGAAGGAGGAGTAAGTGAGCTTGGCGCCCAATGGCATCCAGCCACCCCTGCACACAGGGCAAGGCTGGCATTGATTTTCATGATCAGTGGGTCCTGCCCTGCCTCACTCAGGGATCCAGAAAAACACACTTCCTCTGCTTGCTGCTGAGTCTTGGGAAAGCAGTCTGGCTCACTTAGAAAACATGGTGTGGGGTGACTGGAGAGGCAGGGCTAAAGGTTAAGGTGGTGCAATGGGGTCGCCACCTGGGATTCTAGGCTACCACCAAATTGCTGTGAGTCCTCGAGCACAGACTTGCAGATTCCCAACATCAATATAGATTGGAGGGTTCACCTTCAAGGCCATTTCCACCTCTAAGAAGGGAGTGAGGAATAGAAAGAATGAGAAAGAGCAAGGGAGAGAGAAAGGGAAACTCCATGGTGGCTCTGTGTGGATGACTCTGGGCTTGGGAACCAGCTGATTGTCAAAACAAGTTTCCTTAATGTTTAACTAAAAACTTCCAGGCTGCAGCTTGAACCCACCAGCCTGGTAGGTCCCTCAGCACCCACGGTGAACATGGGAGGTTCACTGGCACTCCTAACTGCCTGTCCCAGGGCCTACCTGGCCAGCCCTCTCTAGGCTGTGCCATATCCCCTGGATTGACCCAGGAGGAAGCACTGCTATGTTTCACACCCATTCCTCTGCCAGCAGCCTCCTGGGATTTTCCCCGAGTAGAAAAATGCAGTGCCTGAGGCAGAGGAGCAAAATTCCTTGGAACACAAGCCAGCCTTCCAGCCACCATAGGTTCTACAATCCTGCCAGTGTGCACTGAAGCACCCTCATTCTTCCCTGTGACATGGAAGGCAGCAGGATGGATGAACTGGCAACTGTTCAGCTCCTGTTTTTTGAACCATCACAAAACAGCCACAGCACACTAAGAGGCCCTGGAGGCAAGGGAGGATGGGAAGGTTAGGATACAGAACCCCTCTGGCTCCCCGCAATACAGGGATACTGGCTTATATCAAGCCATACTGGTTCAAATGTCCAAACCTGCAGGTTGGTGTTCCGTCCCTCTCTGGCTTTGCCACTATTTTACCTGGCAGTTCTGAAGAAAGGTCAGATTTCTCACTCCCTGACAGAACCTTTGGCCTGTCCCAAATCAAGATGCATCCCCTACAATTCCTACAGAAAGCCCCACTTTCAAGGCACCCCATGACCTCTTACCTTCATCCCAAAGGCTTGCATCCGGGTGGCCACCTCCCGTCCGATCCTTCCCAGGCCTAGAATCCCCAGCGTCTTCCCATTCAGCTCTGTTCCCATGAACTGCAACCAAACAGGCACAAGGCAAGGAAGCTGATGTGAACAGGAATAGTGAACTCTCGGGTGAGCTGGTCAAGGGATGAAAGGCTGGCTGCTCACCTTCTTTCGCTCCCATTTGCCGCCCTTCATGGAAGCTGTCGCCTGGGGAATCTGCCTGCAAGGACAGACATAGGATCAGCAGGCCCACTCAGGCCCTCTGCCAACAGCGAAGAGGTGCAAAGTCAGTCATGCCGAGCTCCTGCTTGTGACAGCCACTCTCTGGGAACTAAGAACCAAGCTAAGGCTCAGGCCCAGAAACAACCCTGGGGCAAAGGGAGGGTGAAAGAGGGAAGCTCCTGGCAAGACGCAACTTGGGAGAGCACCAACCAGGAGTTTGAGAGTGATATTGAGGGCCCTGCGAGGTAGCCTAGTGGCTAAAGTCCTTGCCTTGCATACTTGGGATTCCATATGGACACTGATTTGTGTCCCAGCTGCTCCACTTCCCTTCCAGCTCCCTGCTTGTGGCCTGGGAAAGCAGTGGAGGATACTGAAAGCCTTGGGACCCTGCACCTGCGTGGGAGACCTGGAAGAAGTTCCAGGCTCCTGGTTTCGGACAGACTCAGCTCTGACTGTTGCAGCTACTTGGGGAGTGAACCAGTGGGTGGAAGATCTTTCTCTCCTCTCGTCCACTCTGTAAATCTGACTTTCCAATAAAAATAATAAATAAAGTTTTTTTTTAAGATGTTGAAGCTGGCATTGTGTAGTGAGTTAAGCAGACTCCTGCCATCCTAGAAGCCCACATGTGTGCCAGCTGGAGTTCTGGTTGCTCCACTTCCAATTCCAGCTCCCCGCTAGTGGGCCTGGGAAGGCAACAGAAGGTGACACAAGAACTCGGGTCCCTGCCACCCACAAGGGAGACTTGAATGGCCCAGCTCAAGCTTCTGTGGCTACTAATGCCTCAGTGGCTAAATTCTCACCTTGCATGCACCAGGATTCTATATAGGTGTCAGTTCATGTCCTAGCTGTTTCACTTCTCATTCACCTTCCTGCTTGTGGCCCAGGAAAGCAGTAGAGGAAGGACACAAAGGCCTTGGGACCCTGCACTCATGTGGGAGACCTAGAAGAAGCTCCTAGTTTCTGGCTTGGATTGGCCCAACTATGGCTGTTGTGGCCACTTGGGAAGTGAACCAGTAGATAGAAGATCTTTCTCTCTCACCTTCTCTCTGTAATCTGCCTTTCCAAAAAAAAAAAAAGAACTTTAAAAACAGCAGCAGCAGCTGGAAGATTTCTCTGTCTCTTTTTGTAACTGACTTTCAAATAAATAAATAAATTAGAAAAAGATCGTGAGAATGATGCTGGGTAGGTTTCTCATTTAAGCAACCATCCCTGCCTGGGTTTGCAGGAAACCCAAATGGGATATTGGGAATCTCCGATGACATCAAGTGCTCCAGAAGTTCCCATCTCGGTCAAAATCACAACCTGCAAAGGCTTGTACTGCTATCAAAGAGATACCTGGTGCATGGGTGCCCTAGTCCAGATACTTCCACATTGTCTTGAGTGCCTGCTCCCAATGCTTCAAGTCCTATAAACCCTTTCCCCCAACCACACACATGACGCACCTCACAGTGTGAGGGGGTTCATAGAAAAGATTGAGTCTGTGTGTTTTCTGGGTAACAGAGGAAGTGGCAATCAGGGCAGTGTTCAAAGTAAAAATACAGTACGTGGTCATTCAAGGACTCCCAGACACAAAGGAGGAAAAAATGGGGAGTGATGTAGAAGCAACGCCTCTTCCATTGGGCACAGGCTGTAATAAACACTTACTGAGCTCTCAGAACAACTGCATGCTGGGAGTTCTGGAGGTATGCCCCTCACCCAGTACCTTCTGCAGGCAAAGACCCTGCTGGGGCTGATGTTCATTACGTTAAGAGGGTTGAATGATGCTCTCCCACAAAGGGTGCCCTCTCTGAGTTTTGAGCCACCTTTGCGGTGTGAGGGCATGCCTGAGTGGCTGGAAGTGGGAAGCGCCCTTCAGAAATCATAGCCCTTTACATAGAGTTGGCCCTCGACCAGGAGAGAGGTTATTGTTGGCTCTCTAATCTTTGCTGTCACTGCCAGGAAAAGTGAGGGAAATTGTTAGAAAGCTGCACTGAGATCCTTCCATTCCTCCTGTAATAATAGTAATAGTAGTAGTAGAAGAGAAGAGGCCTTTGGTGTAGTGGTTAAGCCACTGCTTGGGACATTCACATCCACATTGGTTTGACCGTAGATCTGGCTCCACTCCCAATTCCATCTTCCTGCTAACGCATATTCTGGGAGGCGGTGGTGATGGTTCGAGGAGCTGGGTCTCTGCCACCCATGTCAGAGGCTTGGATTGAATTCCTCGTTTTTGCCTTTGGTTGCCTCAGCTCTGGTTGTTGTGAGCATGTGGGTAATGAACTGGTAGATGGAAGCGCTCTCTCTGCTTCTCAAGTCAACAGAATCGGGACCAGTGTGGCGGTGCAACAAGTTAAGTTGCCTTTCTCACATCAGAATGGTACCTCATAGCCATTGTGCTTCTGACCCAGCTTCCTGTTGATGCATATAGGAACAAAGTAGATGATGGGTCAAGTACTTGGATCCTTGCCACCTTTGTAGGAGACCCAGATAAAGTTCTTGGCTCCCGGCTTTCAGCTTGATGTAGCCATTTGGAGAGTAAACCAGCAGACGGAAGATCTCTATGTGTTATCATCTAACCCTCTCTCTGTAACTCTACGTTTCAAAAAATAGATATTGTAAAAAGTGAATTAAAAATTCAAAACAGTAAAGTAATCCTGAATTTAATAGCATAAATGAAATCAGGTCACCAGGCTTGTGGATTTATCCAGAGAGTGAGACAATCAGTCAGATGTTCTAAGAGATTTAGAGAGCTGGCTCAGGTTCCCTCTGTGTAAGCTGTCCCTTTCCTACATTCCCCTCTCTTCCCTACATTGACCACTGAGAATCAGAGAATATTCCATGACTGAATGAATACTCAAGGAATACTCAGTATCAGTGAAACTGCAGGTCAAACTCTTGGGGAGGAATCAGGGCTATGGTTAACTCCACAGTAAAGAAGACAAGTGTTAGGATGAAAAAAGGTAAATATCTTAGTCCCAGAAATTCCAGCTCGAGAAAGAGCTGTAAGAAGTTTTGTCTGCTTGGATTAGTTTGCTTAAGGATCTGAGGAGCTTCAGGAAGACCTAACCCAGGTTCCTGCAGAGCTTGCTCTTCCTGTTGGCCAAAGAGGTGTTTAAACCTCTGTTCAGGACTACCCAGCATGGTGAGACTGTGTACATGGTGTGTGCTGCCCATGTAATTGCCACACTGTCCCTTCTACTCAAGAGGCCAACAGGAGGTTAAGAGTGAGTGACTTGGCCACAAGTTTTGTCGTGTTATGAATCTTTAAGAAGGCTCAGGGATTCTGGGTCAATATAGATTGGTGCAGATGGTAGCACAGGTAAACCTTGACAATCACAGGAGTCCATGAAGGACACCTGACCTTAACTCTAGGAACTAAGCCAGGGGTACCAGGACAAAGAGGATGGGAAAGATACTGCAGGCAGCTGAGGATGGAGAGCTTGGTGAGGCTCAGAGGTTGGAGAAGATGGTGTATAGAGAGTGGAAACTAAGGGGAGGCAGAGGGAAGGAAACGCTGCACACACACTCATTTTGTCAAACAGCCTGTTCCTGGGTTGTGAGCAGTGACCATGCATCCATCATGCTTCACACAAAGTCACTAAGGACCCAAGTAGAAAGCAGGTCTTTGTATGCTGGGAACCAGTGAAGGACAGGTGGTCTTGAAGACGCTTATCATGGGCACGTGGCCTGACTCAAATGTTCTAACACTTCCCTGGGTCACTTGGTTTGGCAGGTAGAAAGGCCCAACACACTCGAGGAGCTTAGCTGAGCTAAGTCAGGCACTTACCTGGCCAGGCACATGATCATGCCACAGGTCAGCTCTGCGGCACTGAGGCTGTTCCCATTGGGGGTGCTAGTGATGCAAGAAAAGAGGGGACATTAGTGGACCCACACCAGAGATACCCACACCTATCCTCAGAGAAAGCTTGGAGGGCAGACTGTGCTCTGCTGCCCCTTGAGCTTGTATCGGTTCTGAGGACAAACTCTCAACCCCAGGTCCTTGTCCTGAATCCCCTGCCTGGCTTCATGATTCCATGCAGCAGGACCTCCATAGCCCCTCTCTGCAAATGCACACTTTCCAATGCTTCATCCTGTCAGCCTACGGCTGAGCCAGTCTGTGGGACCCAGAGGACAGCCCCTGGGCCACAGACCTTCATCATGTCCCCTCCCCCTTCCAAGCTTGCTTTTTATCAAGAACAAAGCTAAATTTTTGTCTTTACCCATTCAACTTGTCCTACTCCTGCAAGTTCTGAACTGAATGAATTTGGGACCTGACTTGCTCATGCATGAGGCAATGTTGCCTCCACCGATTTTGCAAAAATGAAAGTGGATATGGAGTCCCACAAAACTGTTTTTCTCTCCTCAAAAGATTTGCATGTGCGTTTTTGGGAAAATGAAACATATATATCTACCTTCCTATGTCTCCAAGGTCTTTCCAGCTCTAGAAATGGTTATCAGAGGAAAAGCCAAAAGACCCCACATAAGATCAAAGAACTCCCCAGAGGTTGTCTTTCCACAACACCTCTTGGCTCCCTGTAAGTGCAGGGTAAGCAGGAAACAGTTACCGTTTAACATCTCTGCTGTCAGATCGTAACCTCTGTCAGGTGACTGGTCATTAACTTCACCCTCCAGGGAAGGGAAAAAGACCCGAGGTCAGAGAAGAGGACTGGGGATGGCCTTGCACACCATCTGGTGCCAGAACAGATATCTGCAGGACCGGCATGCTGACCATGATCTTCGCTCCAATAGGATCCTTCTCCTCCTGACCCCAGAGTGCACCAAGAAAGACTAGGGTCTTGGTTCCAGCAGAGTTTAGAAAAGTGAGGAAGATAATGTCGAACCACTGCACTTGAGTGTGCTGTTACATGGAGCTAACCAGGGAACTGCCACAAACAGAACCGTGGAGGGGGTCGGGGCAGGACAGCAGGAGCCAAGAACACAGATAAAGTCACTGACCTCTGCTCTTGCCCGAACCAGGCTGCAAACATTGGGACTACACAGAAAGTTTTGGCCTCCCTGAGGACCACTAAGCCATAAAGTACTATCTGTCTGGACTAGGAATCTGGACCTTGCAGCTCCTGGGACTCACTGGGACTGCTCTGGCATCCAATTCACCCCTGCCCACCACAACTTGCCCCTTCCCCGCAGCCTCCAGGACTTACTTCATGACCAGCACTCCTTTCCTGGTGGCAGCCTCCAGATCCACGTTGTCTACTCCAGTGCCAGCTCTGCCTACCACCTGGAGCTTTTCAGCCGCATTGATGACCTCTGCCGTCACCTTGGTGGCAGAGCGGACGATGAGGCCTTCACAGTCCTAAAGCAGAAGTATTTTGCGTGACTCCCTCAAGTTAGCCACACAATTGCATACTCCCTCCCAGACCCAGGGAAGGCCAGCAATGGCTGCCCTCATGTCATTGGCAGCTCACTGCTTTCTACAGGGTGATATGGACTAAATTTTGTGCCAATTTCTACTTAGCACTGGGCAGAGTGTGGTCCTAAAACAACAAGCATTTTGCCCAGCAAGGGGAGGTCAAGTCTTTGGGTTCTAGGTATCCAGCTCATCTCTCTCCAGATGATACCACCACATCTGAAGCCTGAAGCATGCCCAGGACCAGCTGCAGGCCTGCCCAGCTGGGGCATGCTGGTCATGTGTTTGGACATATGCTGGAAGCCAGGGCCATTTTCTTTTACAGATTTATATGTTTTACTTGAAAATCAGAGAGAAAGAAAGAGAGCTTCCATCTGCTGATTGACTCCCCCAAATGCCAGCAACAGTCAGAGATGGGCTAGTCCAAAGCCAGGAGTCAAGAATGTCTTCCAGGTCTCCCATGTGAGTTCAGGGTCCCAAGCACTTGAGACATCTTCCACTGTTTTCTCAGATCATTAGCAGGGAGCTGAACTGGAAATGGAGCAGTCTGGACTCCAATCAGTGCTCATATGGGATGCCGACATTTCAGGCAGCAGATTAGCCTGATATGCTGCCACACTGCCCCAGGGACCATTTTCTAGCAATCTCTGTAAACACCATCACCCTTGTACACTGCTATGTTCAACACAAGCATTTCTACCCAGTGGCTGACTGCAGAGATTCAGAGCAAGGTGTTTGTGCACACCTTGTGCAATGTCGCTTGTGCACACCCTGAAAGGCTCTGCCATCAATCAGACCTGGGTTCCAATACAAGCTCTGTCCCTCACCAGCTCTCAGTTTGAGCCTTGGCCTCAAGTGTGGGAGAGGGAAATGAGGAAAGACAGGTGCAGCACCTGGCCCTCCTGAATCAGAGCACCGTTTCCTGTGTCAAACACGGAGCTCAAGGAGGGCAGAGGCAGCACCTCCTTCCACTTGGCCCGCCCCTCTGCCTGACACATGAAAGATACTCAGGAAATTCTGGTTGGCTGAATGAACAAATGAAGTGAATGAAACACAGCTAGGGAAAGGGAAACATCTTTTAAAAAGATTTATTACTCATTTGTAAGTCAGAGTTTACAGAGAGAAAGAGGAAGAGACCTTCTATTTGCTGGTTCACTTCCCAGATGGTTGCAGCAGCCAACACTGGAATAGACTAAAGTCTGGAACCAGACACTTTATCCATATCTCCCATATGCATGGCAGGGGCCCAAGCACTTGGGCCATCTCCTGCTGCTTTCCCAGGCCATTGACAAGCAACTGGACTGGAAATGGTATACTCTAGACAGAAACCAGCACCCAAATGGGATGCCAGTGTCTCCAATGGAGACAGTATGCCACAATGCCAGCCCCTGAAAATAAAGATCCTGAGAGCTTCTAAACACAAGAATAGTTGCAAAATTCCAGCAGTTGCAGGATTACTTTTCTGGAAATGTTTATGTTTCATGCACATCTACTGCTTGAGGTGGTGGCATCTGCTGACAGAAAGCAACATGCAGAAATGCTCTTAAGCCAGAGTCAAGCACCTGGTCCAACCTCATACTGTGGATACAAAACTCAAGCTCAAAATTAAGGCTGCCTGTGCCCTCAGTTTCTTCCCATCTGTTGAGTGTCTGCAATGTATGTGCCTGGCATAATGCTAGACTAACTGGGGGTAAATGAGACACAATCCCAATCCTCAAAGAGCTCAGTGTTGGAAACATCAACATTCATTATTGGAGTTGAGTGCTGTGACCTCACAGTGGGCAGCTCTCAAGAACACAGTGGGATAATTAGTCTTAACCAGAAGCCACCTCTGGGGTATCTGCCTTGATACTGAGGCCTGTACCCAACAGCATCTGGAGGGTGCCCTGGGTCCCCAATTGCAACCTAGTTGGATATCAGTTAATGCCCAGGCAGAAAGGGAACACTGCCAACTGTCCTACATTTGAGTCTACCACACTGACTCTTTAGAAAAGGATGCTGTTACCTAGCCCAAATCTATTGGCTTCTCAAGGTACAATGCACCTGATCTAACAGAGAAGACACTATTTGGGATACTCACATTCCATACTGAAGTGCCTGGGTTCTAGCCCTGGGTCTGCTCCTGATTCCAGCTCTAGCTTCCTGCTAATGTCCTAGGAGGCAGCAGGCAATGGCTTAAGTAGGAGATTTGGATTGGGTTCCTCATTCTCCCATCCACATTGTGGGCATTTGGAGAATGATGTCAGTGAATGGGAACTCTCTTTCTCTCTGTCTTTCAAATTGTAAAAACAGGCATTTTGAACATCATATTGGCAAAGGGAAAGTTAATAATATTCAGTGTTGGTGATAATGTAGGAAAATAGGAATGTACATTCCCCATGTTTTTGGAAGTCAACTGGGCAACACATTAGCACATTTTTAGTCTGATTCCTTTGTAAACAATGACCTTCTAGGTAACTGGAAATCCACTGAGAAAACAAATCAATCTCTTTTATCAGTCCAAGACCAAGGTTCACAGTTCAATAGACAAGAGGAGAGCAAGGAAGAAGGAGAGCAGGGACCTCCCAAGGAGTCACAATCCTATCACCCTGTCTCTCTTACCAAGTTCCACAGCCCCCATCTCAGGCCCAGCTCTGCTCCAGAGACTCCATTCAACATTCCCTTGGGCCACCATGGTCTCTAAGCCTTTAGCATGTGCTGGAGGCTGCAGACTCCAGGACTGTGCAGGCAGTTTTGCAGTCACCAGCACATGGGCACACCTCTAGATGGCTCACCTACATGAAGATGTGGCCTGTAGTCTCTCATTTCTCCTCAGATAATCCTTCTGCATTGCCAGGGGCAGGAGTGTCTCTGCTTCTCCCAGCAGCGGGATCTGACCATGGAGATGCCCACTCAGGAAATCTGGTCCTACCTCAGAAGTGGGCGTCACAGACTGTTCAGTGTTAACTCGCTTCCAAGACGTCTTACAACCTCAGCGACCATCTAACTGCATTCACTGATTCAGCACTGTATGTGTTGTGAATCTGCATGGCCACCTAGCTCCTGCTGAAGCTCTGAACCCCCTCAGACACTCCAAGACACCATTCCTGCCCAGGCCAGAGCATCCCTCAGCGACTGCCCAAGCTATCTATTCTGCTGTTCTATTTACGCAAATCATGCCCTACCCAAGTGCCCACATCCTCTAACATCCTCTGCATAGTTCTTCTCCAGAGTCCTGGGCAAGAATCTCTCAACACTGCTGCTTCCTGCACTGTGTGGAGCTTTGGTATCAGGGCTGTGGCTGGAACAGGCACTCAGCACGCTTCCCTGCTCGCGTGCTGTGGTATCCTCCCACTCCCTGTCCTTACATCCTCAGCTGCCTCGGAGCAGGGCAGCACACAATTATCTGCTTGATTCACGGCTGTTCCAGGCATACCATGCTGATTCAACCATGGAAATCCATGCCCATGCCTGTTCCTCCAGCCCCCACGTGCTTCCTTTCCCAGATCAGGCTTGGCCTCGCAGATCATTCTAAGTTGTTCCTATTCTGACTTCAATGGGGGACGAGTCAATGAAAACTTGCCAAGCAACAGCAAATGCAACTGGATCTGATTTTGTAAATTTTGTGCAATCCTAACTTGGTGGTTGCTTTTTGTTTGTTTGTCAACTATATCCTGATGTGAATGCTGGAGGCTTGGGAATGCTGGAGTCGCTCACGAAGACATTTATTCCTCCCTGATCTTTCTCAAACTTCCAGGGTGAAGTTACAGACAATGCAGGGCTGGTGTTACGGCACAATTTGTGAAGCTGCTGTTTGCATCACCATCATCGCCTAATGAAGCGCTGATTTCAAATGACAAATGTTAGGAGAAAAAGGAAATAGTCGATATAAATGTGCTTCAATAAATTAAACACAGTACTGATATCTAATTGAGTAGTCCTGACCAGCATTTCCATTTAATGAAACAGAAACTATCAGACTGCATTGTATGATGCATTGCTTTATAAGATGTATGTTTATAAACACATGTACACATATGTATTCTATCTGCATGCTGAATTATGGTATTAAATTAATTTGTTATTGGGAGTCATGGTCCAGGTTTAAATGCTACTGATACATAAGAGTCTTTAAATGACTCTGCATGTTAGGCTTATTTAAAATGTGAGTTCCAAACAAGATGCTTTTTTTCTAAGCCACTGTTTTTCAAACTCTTTTGACCAAGATCTAAAGAAAGAAACAATCTTAAGTTGTGATTGCATACTCACATCCCACAGATAAACCTACACACATATTTTAAATCAGCATTACTCTGGTATTTCCTATTTTGATTCTTAAAATGCTGAGTACGACCCATTAAACTGTTGACTTGGTTCCCTGCTGATGAGCTGTGACGTGCTTCCAATTCTAAAACCCAAGTCTGGAAGTGGGAGAGAATGATTATCTCTCATGCCCAAGGAGTGAAAAAGAGCAAAGTGTGCCCGCCCAGAACGGGAGGCAGGAGGCCCAGTCCCAGCGAGAGTGTTAGTGTTCTGCAATGCCAAAGAGATGGAAGTGGGGGAGGGAGGCACTGGCGGCACCTCTGCAAGGGAATGAGAGGCACAGCGTGGGAACAAGGCCCCCAGCTGTAGCAGCTGCCCGAGGACACGAATTGGTATTCTGAACTGAGTTTCCCATTTAAAAAAAGACAAGAAAGCTGAACCCTCCCAAACTGCCCAGCAGCCAAGAGGACCACGAAACGCCCTACTCTCCTGCCAACAGCTTCAGTGCCCTTACAGGTGTCATGTCAGACTCCCTGACATGCTACCTTCCAGCCAGCTGCCTTCCCAACCCCCAAGGAATCCCACTCTGAGGTGAGGCCTCCCACTTCCCTCAGGTCTGCCCCCACCATTCTGCAGGGGCATTCCCAGGCCTCAAAGGTCAGCCTTTTCCTTTGAGCCAGATGCAAAGCCCTGACTGCGCAACCCCCACCACCCTCCAAGTTGGAGAGCCAGCACGTTGATCTGAAGGTCGAGCCAGCTGCCTTCCTAGTCACTGCTCAGAGCCGAGGCCACCGGTTGCATGCACACAGGAAAGGAGGAGCCCATCGGGCACTGACTGCCCCTTGAGGACCAGGGCCTGAGTTCTGCCTGCTGGCCCGGTCAGCATCTCCCGTGTGTGTGTGTGTGTGTGTGTGTGTGTGTGTGTGTGTGTGGTATTCCCCAACAGGCTACAAGTTTCCTAAAGGCTGGAGCCAGTTAGATATTTCTCTGGGTACGGGACAGGGTCTAGACACTGGACACGACACCATGGTGTGTGTGTGTGTGTGTGGTGGGTGGATGGGAGTCAGTGGGATGGAGCAGGAGGTCCACAGACAGTCAAGGGCACAGGCAGCCCTCAGGACCACACAACTGAGGCACAGCTGGTACAACTGTAGCAGCCGGCAGGCTCAAGGGAAGGTTGGCAGGGGGCAGCATGGGACAGGGTGTGCAATTTGGGGAATAGGGGGTGACCTAGCAGTAGCACAGATTGTAAAGGTAGGAAGTGCAGGCAGTGGAGTAAGAGTTCACAGATGCCCTAAGACTGAAAAAGTCACCCAACCTTGCAGGACCGAGGGAAGTATCACTATAACCTGTTTTAAGATTGTTAAGTGTATCTATTTCCTGGGGGTGTCTGGGATCCGACACCAGTCCTGTCTGGTTACTCCTGGACAGCTGTGAGGCCAAGCTTAAGGCCATCCACCAGACCTCAGGCACAGCTTTAGGCAGCGGGAGCAACTCGCTTCGCCCACCCCACCCCCTTCGCCCCTCCTCTGAACGCTGGGAGCAGCCGAGGGGCGGTGAAAGCTCCGTGCGATCTTGCGTCAGACAAAAAAGGCTCTGCGCTCTGCTGTTTCTCCAGCAGCCATGCAACAAGCTAGGGCTCCACCAGGACCCCTATCATTCCCCGCGCGAGTCGGCCAGGCGGGTTGCTACTCCGGATCCCGGCAAGAGTCGCCGGTCCGGTTCGTTCGCTGGCTGCCTTGGGGGTCAGGAAGGGAGGCAGCGCCTGGCTGCTGGGGCCTCGGTGCGGGGAGGGCGCGAGGTGCCAAGTTGGCTTCCAGCAAGCAGCTTGCTGAGCCAGTTGGAGCAGCCTGCACTCTGCAGTGCGCGCCGCAGACGAACGGTCCTGAAACACGCGGTTGCAAAGTAAGCAAAAAGTTTGCATCGTGCAGCTTGCTTGCCGCCTTTACCTCTAGCCGCATTCTTTGCGCCGTCTCGCACAGCGTGCTCCCGCCCACCCAGTCGTTGGAGTTCTCGGGTCTGGAAGATCCCGGGGCCGCAGAAGGGAGCGCGTTGGCCCGGCGCCACCATCCGGCTTCGGTGGATGATACCTCCCAGGAGCCCTCGTTTTTCTCCCGCTCTCCTCACCTGCAGCTCGGCTATCAGCTCCTCTTTGCTGAGATTCTGCTTCTCCACCACCTGTAGACCTCCATCTTGCAGGATCTTGCGACAGCAAGGGTCCAGGCTGTCACTGATAAGCACTTTCCGCAGATTGGCAAAGGCCATCGCTGGAGTTAAGGCTTTGGACACGGCGGCTCTCCGAAAGCAGAAGAGCTGCTGCGGCGGCTGGAGCGCTCGCGTAACTGGGCAGGATCCCAGACCTCCCGCTCCGCCTCCCCTATCTCCCCCTTCTGCCCCGTCGCTCCTTTCGATTGGCGCGAAGCGCACACAAACTCTCCGCCTCCTCCACCTCGCAGTTTCCAGTCGGCCAGGTCCTCGCCCACTTGCTTATCCCTCCGGGATGTATTTCCCAAGCGCAGCCAGGTCGCTTTCTGGCACCTGGTGAGCGAACACAAGCACGGTTTACGCTGACTGGCTGATTCATATCTGAAGTGAACGGAAAAACGTACGTTCTTGAAGCGAAGGAAGTGAAGTTTTATCGTCACTTCTCTCCCCCTCGAAGGACTCATTCATTTCTTTTGGAGGTCGCAAAGGCGCAGAGCTGCGTGTTGGAGTAGACGTTGCTGGGGCGTGAACCTCTGAGGAGCCGAGGTGGGCCAGTCCCCAGCACAGAAACGTGGGCGATCACGGAGTTGCAAGGTGAAACTGCTTGCGACGTCACACAGTTTGATTTGTTCTAAATGAACGATGCATGGAGAACTAGGGAATCTGACATTTAGATTGGCTAGACTTCTTTTTGTGTGTGAAGTTGCTTTTTTTTTTTTTTTTTTTTTTTACAATCTTTACATAGTTAATTAGGGCATAGGGGTTCAACAGCTACAAGAAAGAGGGTAAGACTATCATTTCCACACTTTTTTTTCTTTCTGGGGCAAAAGGGGAGGTAAAGGGAGAAACCGGGAGAAACCCCACCCAGTCTCCCACCCATCCCAGGTCCCTGATGTGGGGCATGCTCCAAGGGTTTTGCTCAAGTGGTTTTGATAGTTCAACAGTTATGAATCGCTGCCAGTCTCGTCATTCTGAGCACGAAGAAATCACGCCAGACTCCACTGGTTGACATAGTCCATCTTAGAGTCTCCGTTTGCCCTGTTTTTCACTGCCAACATATGGCTGAGGTAGTTGACTGACTTGTTCTGTCCTCTGTCTTTTCATGGTTAGGGTTCTGAGTCTGGCAATTCAATTGAGGGGATCCCCAAAGAAACTTTGAGGTGTTCCCAGACCAGATTCTTGTGTGTACTAGCAAGTACAGGACTCAGTTCAGTCCATCACCCCAATCAACTGGTGGTTGTGATTGCTGGGTCGTTTCTGTTTCCACCTCTGTCTTCCACGTGAACCAATGGGTGTTGTCATCTATCCTGATTCTGCCCAGCACATACTCGGCCCTCGCATAAACCAGTGGGAGCTGCAGTCTAGTCAGAGCGACCCACAATAACCCCCACCAGGCCTGCCCCCATCCTGGTTCCCATGCTTGCCAGTATGTGCAGCAGACTAGTCCAGTCTGTCCCACATTCCATTCAGCTCTCATATACGTCAATGGACATTGAAGCCTAGTTCAATCCAACCAGCTCCACTATCCAGTCCATGCACATGCTGTTGGGTGTCCTTCTGTCCAGCCACGTCTGCCCCAGTCCTTGTTTTCATGCTCTCCAGTGGAAGTGATAATCCAAGAGGGAGGTGCCCATTATTTCCCTCCTGGGCCCACTCCCACTCCCAGATCATGCACTCTCCAGGTGATTCTGCAGTTTAACTTGACAGAGCTAACCCCCAGTGCCAGCTTTTGTCAGCTGATGCTGTAGCAAAGCCCAAGCAACCCTCACCCATTCTGATTTAGGCTTGCACCAGTGGAAACAATTAGCCCAGCCTGGCTCTTCCCTGATCTAGCTCATATGAAGCCCACAGGTGTTGTAGCCCTGCCCGGTTTGATCTTCACCCAGCTCAAGCTCTCCAGTGGGAGTAGCTGTCCAGCAGCGGAGCACCCCTATCATGTTTCCTATCATGCTTCTTGCGCTTACCTGCAGGGATTGTGTCCTGCCAGAGGAGTTGCCCAGGCTCCTCCATCAGAACCTCTCCCAATGCCAGATTTTGCACATACCAGGGGGTCCATGAGCCAGTCCTACTCAGTCTACCTCCTGTCCTAGCAGGAACAGTGGCTTTTCCTGACTGGCCTTCAACCCAATCTGGTTCTTGCTGTTGGATGTTTCAGCCCAGCCAAGGCTCGTCCATACCCACATACAGTTTACGTATGGCTCAGTAGGGGTTGAGACCTAGCCTAGTCTGTTCCACATCTACCCTGGTCCTCCAGAACACCAGACAGTGTTGGGGTCTGGCCCGGCCTGGTGCATCCAGTCCCAGTCCACACTTGTGCCAAGGGAGACTACAACTGTTTCCTGATCAGAATGCAGCCCCCATTCCAGCCCACATGCCTATTGGTGGGAACCTCAACCCAGTTAGGGTGTCCCCTTAGCTCCCCAACCTGGCCTGTTCCCAGCCATAGATCATGCACATGCCAGCAGTTGCTCTGACTCAGCTTAGCTCAGCCCCTCACCTGTCTCAGCCTCTGCTTTAGACACTTTGGCTTAGCGTCCCTGGCTCACACAGACCAGTAGGTGCAAGAGCCTAGCTTGGCATGACCTGTGCTCCATGCTGGTTTCTAGTTTTGCTTGTGGGCTAAGGTTTGCTCAGTCCTGCCTGGTACACCCCATTCCATTACCAATTTACACATTAGCCAGCTATTGGAGCTACTTTTCCCAGCTTGTCTGACCCCTAGGTCTGTACTGCATGTTCACCAGCGGGAACTATGACTTGCCAGGGGAGTTTCCCAAGTTCTTCCACTTGACCCACTCCCAGACCCAGTTCTCATACATGCCAATGGGTTTTAGGCCAGTGCCTGGCATAGTCTGGCCTTCCATTTGGCCTTGTATGAGCTGGTGAACATTGCAGCCTGGCCCACCCCACACCCTTTTCAGGATGCACATTTGGGTGTTGCTGCCTTGACCAGCCCAGACTGTTGTGGGTTCTTAACCTGTGAGTGATGGCAGGTTCCTTGGTCACACCTAACTTAGTCCATCACCACCCCAACTCTTGAGCTAACCAGTGGGGCTAGTATTTCCATGGGGTTTGGCCCACACATCCCCCACAGAATCTATCCCTGGATATGGTTCTCTCATGTGCTATTTAATGTCATGGCCCTGCCTAATGTGACCCATCTCCTGATCCATCATCATGTCAGGTACAAGGATCTGGGCCTGTTAGACAAACCCTGAGCTTTAGTTTTTGCATGAACTGGTGTTCGGTGGTCAGCATTGTGCGGTGATTACAGGTTGTACACAGGATTTTTAAAAGTTTGGTATATTCCTCTTATCCATAGATATCATCTGGTCCCTCTCCTCTAACCTACCAGGTCTCATTACCCTTACTTACCTTCAAAGGAAAAGTTACTCTGTCATTGGGAATCTTTAGGATTGATTCACATCCCAGAAGCACAGTGGGCTCAACATGGAGCTTCCTAAGCGCAATTCAAAGAACCCATTGGTCAGCTCTACTCAGTTTACCTCTTGACCTGGCCTTTCCTGACCAGTCTTCAACCCTTTCCGGTTATTATTGATGGATGTTACAGCACAGTCTAAACTGATCCACATGCAGACACTGCTCACACCTGGCTCAGCAGGAGCAAAAACCTAACCTAGCCTATCTGACACCTGGTCCTCACGAGAACCAGTGGGTCCTGGGGTATAACTCAGTCTGGCGCACTCAGCTCCAGTCCACATTTGTGCCAAGGTAGGTTGCAGCCATGTACAGACCAAAACACGGTTCTCATTCCAGTCCCATGCTTACCAGTGGGAACCACAACCCAGGCAGGTCATCCTTTTAGCTCCCCAACCAGTTCTGTTCCCAACTATAGATCTTGCATGGGCGATGGTTGCTCTGACCCAGCTTGGCCTAATCCCTCACCTGTCATGACCTTTGCCTTTGGATACTGTATTCTGGCCTGACCCAGTCTACCCCAAGTGCCACCACTTGATGGTGTGTCCTGGAATCTGGCTCTGCTCCATCTGCTCCCATCCTAGGCTCATGCAATCTGGCAGATGTGACAGCCTAGCTGAGCTTGACCTGTGCTCCAGCCTGGTTTCTGGTCTTGCTGGTGAGGTAAGGTTGGCTCAGCCCTGTCCTGTCTGTCCTCCTCCAAAACCAACCCACACATTAGCCAACAATTGGAGTTTCCCTACTCAGGCTGCCCAACACCCAGGCCTGGAACATGTGCTCACCAGCAGGAGCTGTGACCCCAGTAGGGGAGTTTCCCAGGTTCTCCCACTTGGCCCACTCCCTGACCCAGATCTCACATGCTCCAGCAGGTGCTAGGCCCTTGCCTAGCATAGTCTGCCACTCCATCTTGGCCTTTGTATGAGCTGGAGAATGTTGCAGCCTGGCCTGCCTCACACCATTTTAGGATGCACATGTGGGTGCTGTAGCCTGGACCTGCCCAGCCTGTTTCCAGCCCCAGCACCCATGAGTGTCACCATGGTCACTCCTAGCTCAGCCCATCACCACCTCAACTCTTAAGCTAACCAACAGGACTTGTATTTCCACAGGGTTGGCCCACTTACTCCCACAGAATCTACCCCTGGACCTGGTTCTTTTGTGTGCTGGTTAGTGTCATGACCCTGCCTAATGTGACCCATCCCCTGTTCCAACACTCAGTCAGGTACTGGGATCTAGCTCTGCCAGACAGGCCCCCAGCCATAGCTTTCATGTGGGCTGGTGTGTGGCAGTCAGCTATATATATATATATATATTAGTGAGCTATGTTTTGCGCTGACAGTCCATCTCAGTACTCCTATGTAGACTGATGAATCAGTCTGACCCAAACAGATCTTACAGACTGCCCCCTCCAAACCACCAGGTCTCAGTCCCCATGCTTGCCTGCAAGTTCAGTGACGCCGTCACTGGGAGTCACACAGGATTCATTCCTCATATACACACACATTGGCCTTATCCATGGATGTTCCTAGGGATATTACACACCCCCAAAACCCTAGAGCTCGTCTTCTGGTGGCCAGTGCAGCAAGTGGCACCAGATTCTGCCTGCTTGCCACCCAAAGCTCAGGACTCACTCACGGCATGGCTGTGGTGACCATGGCCAGAATCCCAAGCCTTGAGTCCAACCTGGTTCAGGTACCTCCTGCCTCATTTCATCAGGGTCCAGGGTATAGTGGGGGTGTGTGGGGAGGATAACTCTACTTTTCTGCTTGGTGCCCTCCTGTGACTTCCAAACTTATTATGGGAA